TTTTTTTTTTTTTTTTTTTTTTTTTTTTTTTTTTTTTTTTTTTTTTTGTGGCTTGAGAATGGGCAAGACGACATGTCGTTTCTACAAACCGAACAAAATGATAGGAGAGGAACGACGTGTGTCTCTACATAGTGAAATTGCTAATGTATTATTTCGAATTCCAAATCTTAAGGAAGAAATGTTGAGTACCTCTTTACTTGGTGGTTCGTTTTAATGTTTTTTGTTTTGAGACTTAGAACATGCTACAACCTTTTAGGTCACCGCTAATTCAAATTCTAACGCTTAAAATGATGATAAGAGAATAAAAAATATTATGTATAATAAGATATTACGAAAATATTATAGTTTAGATTTAAATTCAAACTAAGGGTTAAATTTGGAATGATAATTAATATCTTATTTATTTATAATTGATGTGAGATATGTTGGATGATGAACTGCTATATTAGGTAATGATCCTGTATTTATAATCAAAGAAAATACTTTATTCACCGGTAATGAGACCTTTTGGAAGTCCAAAGCAAAGCTTGGACAATATCACAGGAACAATTCAAAGAGAACATTACATGATAGCAGCGGATTTAGGTTGTTACAAATGGTATAAGAGCCAGACATCAGATGATGTCCTAGCAAGAAGGTTGAGTCCAGAAGTGTGTGGACACGAGACTATGTGCCAACAGTGATGCTGACCCTAAAAGAGAGTGAATTGGGGACCTGCATTGATTGGAGAAGGGAACGAGTGTCAGCGAGGTTACTGGGGTTGACGAAAAAATCGTTTTAAAAATTTTGAGGGGAAGCCCGGAAGGATAATCCCAAATATGATAATATCTGCTAACAGTAGTGAAGACACTGGGGCTGACGAAAAAATCGTTCTAAAAACTTCGAGGAAAGCCCATAAGGATAAGCCCACGAGGGAAGCCCGGAAGGATAAGCCAAAATATGACAATATATGTTAACCGTTGGTTTAAACTATGAACTCTAGCTGAATTTTGATTGACAAGTTTCCATGATTAATTTTTTTTTTTTCGATTTTGATACCAAGATAGTTTCATTTTTCTCTCGTAATTATATTTGAGATTTACTAATGTAATTAACATGTCACAACAAAAAATCGATACTTATTTTTATTGTCCGATATGATAAGACAAAATATTTTTGTTTCTCTTTATGGACAAACATACCGTTGAGATTGAGAATCAAAACGTAATATTTTGTCAAATGATTAACTTTGATATCTACTGATAAAAATAATTATGAACGTCACGACAAAATGTATTATTTTCTTAGAAATAAAACGTCAAAAGTTCAAATTTTATTGTCCGACCGAGTACGACAAATTCGTACTTTTACTTTTCATTAACAAACATACAATTAAGAATGACAAATTATAAAAGTATTAAACTAACAATTTTTTGTCATTTAATTAACGGTCCTCCAAACCGACGCAAATTAGTGAAGTTTTACCATACTCGATCCTCCTCATTTTTGTTTCTCTTTATGGACAAACAAACCGTTGAAATTAAAAAATCAAAACGATAATATTTTATTGTTCGACAGAATACGATAATTTTGTACTTTTATTTTTCATTAACAAACGTACAATTGAGCATGATAATTTATAATAGTTTTAAATTAACATTTTTTTTTCAATTAACGGTCATTCAAACCGACACAGATTGGCGAAGTCTTACCATACTCCATCCTTCTCGATAAATAAATCATATAATGGTTATTATTATTATTATTATTATTATTTTAAGTTCGCTTAAAAAGGGAATATCTCAAAATTGAAGATGTTTCAATATTATAACATCAAGAAATAAATGTTTTTTACCATGCAACATTCAAGAGTTTTACCATGGTTAATTTTTTTTCTTCCTTTTTTTTAAAATTAAATGTAAATGTATAATTAAAAGAATCCATATTAACATATCTCAACAATAATTAATGTATCGATAAAAAAAAGTAATTAATATATATTTTTAAAGTTTAAACTACTCGACCGTTGTTATACTTAACCAAAAAGAAATAATTTTCGATCTAAACTTTAATTTATAATTTTTTTTAATATTGATTGTTAAAGTATTTAATAAGCCTTTAATTTTAATTTTTAGTCATGTATGGTCGAAATTACATTATTCAACATTTTTTAAAATTTACAAATTTATTAATTATATAACTGAATTTTATGTCGTTTTCAAAATTGTCCATGGCCTTTTAATTTTGTTCTTTTGTGTATTTCTAAATTTTATATACAAATTTTATAAAATGTATATAAAATTTAAATTTTATATGCACCTATTAATTAAATAGAAAGTTGAAAATTTAAAAATAAAAAATAAAAAAATGATGTCACCCCAACAAACCAGCATTATTTATTATTAAAAAAGAAAACACGTGCAAAGCACGTGAGAGTACACACATAACATAACTTCATTAAACATAAGGAGAAAACACAAACAAGCAAACGAAAAAGCAACTCCGGCCGGTCGGGGCATTTGGCGGCGACTAGTTTGTCATGTATCACGCCGGAAAGTTGACCGGCGGTGAAGCACCGGGGGTCCCACCTTCACGATCAGCTTGTCCATTGGCGACTCCACTCAGTAGAGCCTATACACAAAAACAAACCGCATAAGACAATGGCAGAGTAAAAGGTTAGATTTTGATGGGCTGATTTTACATTGATTCCGGCGCGGCTCTGTTTCTCCATGGCCTGCATGGACGCGATGGCCTGCGACACAAAACAACCAATCAAGCAAAAGGGGTTAATGATTAGTGTGGAACAATGGATGATGAAAGTCCCACGTCTGCTAATTTAGGGAATCATCTTGGGTTTATAAGTGAGAAATACTAAATCTATTAGTACGAGGCCTTTTGGAGAAGCCCAAAACGAAGCTTAGGGTTTATGTTCAAAGTAGACAATATCATATTGTGGAAAGTTGTGTTCGACTATCATAGAAAAGAGGGTGACTTACCATTTGGTATTGCTTGGTGTTCCTTGGCTCGGAGGCTGTGGACAGAGATCGTTGAAGCTTGGATGGGGCTTTGGCGACGGGTTTGGGTAGCTTGGAAGGGTGTTTGCTTCCCATTTTGGGTGGCCGGAAGTGGGTTGGTGGTGGGAGGGAGTGGTGTAATTTATAGGGAAGGGAGGGGCGATGCCAGCGAAGCAAACAGGGACGTGGCAGCCATGAGAGGGGTGTGGGAAAGCTTTTACATTTGGCAACCGTTTCTTTTTATTCCTTAAAATTGGGCCTTTTTCTTTCTTCAGCTAAATAAAACTTTAACGCCTAATAATTAAACCTCCTCATCACCTTTCATCTTTATCTTATATCAGCTGTGCTCAACTCTTAAGCTATGGCTTCACACCCTCTCTCGCGTCTTATGGTATCCTAACGTGTATCAAATTCTTACCATGTTCGTTCATTGTATCATATTCTCACCGTCTTTTGATTTTCACTTCTTCGATCGTATCATGCTATGTATCAGATTCTCACTGTTTTTAGATTTCCACTTCTTCGATTGTATCATGACATGTATCAGATTCTCACTGTTTTCAGATTTTCACTTCTTCGATTGTATCATGACATGTATCAGATTCTCACTGTTTTCAGATTTTCAATTCTTTGATCGTATCATGACATGTATCAGATTCTCACTGTTTTCAGATTTTCACTTCTTCGATCGTATCATGACATGTATCAGGTTCTCACTGTTTTCAGATTTTCAGTTCTTCGATCGGATCATGACATGTATCAGGTTCTCACTGTTTTCAGATTTTCACTTCTTCGATCGTATCATGACATGTATCAGATTTTCACTGTTTTCAGATTTTCACTTCTTCGATCGTATCATGACATGTATCATGGTTTTCAGATTCACTTCTTCGATTGTATCATGACATGTATCACATTCTCACTGTTTTCAGATTCACTTGTTCGATCGTATCATGACATGTATCAGATTCTCACTCTTTTCAGATTTTCACTTCTTCCATCGTATCATGACATGTATCACATTCTCATTGTTTTCAAATTCACTTCTTTGATCGTATCATGACATGTATCAGATTCTCACTATTTTCAAATTCACTTCTTTGATCGTATCATGACATGTTTCAGATTCTCACTGTTTTCAGATTCACTTCTTCGGTCATATCATGACATGTATCACATTCTCACTGTTTTCAGATTTTCACTTCTTCGATCGTATCATGACATGTATCAGGTTCTCACTGTTTTCAGATTTTCGACTGTATCATGACATGTATCAAATTCTCACTATTTTCAAATTCACTTCTTCGGTCGTATCATGACATGTATCAGATTCTCACTGTTTTCGGATTTTCACTTCTTCGACTGTATCATGACATGTATCAGATTCTCACTGTTTTCAGATTCACTTCTTCGACTGTATCATGACATATATCACATTCTCACTATTTTCAGATTTTCACTTCTTCGACTGTATCATGACATGTATCAGATTCTCACTGTTTTCAGATTTTCAACTTCTTCGACTGTATCATGACATGTATCAGATTCTCACTGTTTTCAGATTTTCAACTTCTTCGACTGTATCATGACATGTATCAGATTCTCACTGTTTTCAAATTCACTTCTTCGACAGTGTCATGACATATATCACATTCTCACTGTTTTCAGATTTTCACTTCTTCGACTATATCATGACATGTATCAGATTCTCACTATTTTCCGATTCACTTCTTCAGTCGTATCATGACATGTATCAGATTCTCACTGTTTTCAGATTTTCACTTCTTCGACTGTATCATGACATGTATCAGATTCTCATTGTTTTCAGATTCACTTCTTCGACTGTGTCATGACATATATCACATTCTCACTGTTTTCAGATTTTCACTTCTTTGACTGTATCATGACATGTATCAGATTCTCACTATTTTCAGATTCACTTTTTCAGTCGTATCATGACATGTATCAGATTCTCACTGTTTTCAGATTTTCACTTCTTCGACTGTATCATGACATGTATCAGATTCTCACTGTTTTCAGATTTTCACTTATTCGACTGTATCATGACATGTATCAGATTCTCATTGTTTCCAGATTCACTTCTTCGACTGTGTCATGACATGTATCACATTCTCACTGTTTTCAGATTTTCACTTCTTCGACTGTATCATGACATGTATCAGATTCTCACTATTTTCAGATTCACTTCTTCAGTCGTATCATGACATGTATCAGATTCTCACTATTTTCAGATTTTCAAATTCTTCGACTGTATCATGACATGTATCAGATTCTCACTGTTTTCAGATTCACTTCTTCGACTTTGTCATGACATATATCACATTCTCACTGTTTTCAGATTTTCACTTTTTCGATCCTATCATGACATGTATCACATTCTCACTGTCCTCTATCATATTATGACATGTATCATATTCTCACTGTGCTCCTTGATCGTATTATGACATGTATCATATTTTCACTGTCTTCATTGATTGTATCATGGCACATATCATATTCTCATCGTCCTCCTATCATGACATGTATCAGATTCTCACTATCTTTAGATTTTTCACTTCTTTAATCATATCATGACATGTATCAGATTGTCATAGTTTTTCAGATCTCCACCTCTTCAATCATATTATGATACGTATTAAATTCTCACCATTCTCAAATTTTCACTTCTTCGATCGTATCATGACATGTATCATATTTTTACCGTCTTCGATCGTATTATGACACATGTCGTATTCTTACCGTGCTCCTCGATCGTATCATGACACGTATCATATTCTCACCATCCTCCTCAAACGATCATGACATGTATCAGATTCTCACCGTCCTCTTTGGTTCCACTCTCATCTCACATTCTAACTTTACTATACATGTAGTCACAAGACAACCGACTCTTGATCGATTATGGATTAAATGTGTTTACGAGCTACAAAAATTAAGTCAAATAATAATTTTGACGGAGTTGTTTACTGTAAGAATTAAATAGCTATAAAATTAAAGGTAACTAAAAATTGTTTTTTCTCCCGTGACTAAAATACTTCGATTTAATAACAATTTTTTTTTAAAAATTAAGCTTATACACATTACTTCCGTTGGTAACACAAAACAAAGATTTGACTTTTTAAATCACAGAGTATTTAAAATTTAATTACAAATAAATTCGAATTTGAAAAAGCATAAAACAAAAAAACCTCTCTCATCAAAATTATTACATATAGAATAGGCTAAATAATTTCTTGTTTGTATTTAGCATACTTGGAAACACTTAGCCATGGTCTTTAATACCCCCTCCCCTCGTGAATATTGAACCAAAAGAATACGACACGCATATTATACTCGAACATATCGACTTATATTTTCTTATTGAAACTAAATCATCAACCTTTAGAATAGTATCAAATGAGTCTACTTAAATTGATACATGTATTTAGAAACGCGTAAATAATTCTTTTTCTTATCGTTTAATTCATTTTTTATTTATTTAAATTATCTTTTTAATATTTAATCCATAAGTTAATAATATCCTTAACACGTGTCCGTATTATCATTTATGGAGCATATAAAAAAAAACAAAAAAAAACAAAATAATGTTAGTAAATGACGGCAAATTTAATGAGTTTCTTTATTTGGGCCTTTTATAATTCATTTGGGCTTCCGGCCCAGTTTTCTATTGGGCCTCACTTTATGGGCCCTATATTTTATTGCTCATGGGAATAAAATTTAATAAAAAAATACAAATAAAAACCATTTTCAAATGTCAAAATTTGTCTTTAAATGGGTCTTTCACAGAATAATTTATAATGGCGTGACAAAATATCTTTAGACCTTTTTATAAATTTAAGAAAAATAGTCTCCAATTTTTAAATACATTAATTATCAATTTGAATTAAAGGGGGTTTCTTTTTCCTTCTATGTTGAAAAAGACAGAAATATCAATTTATAAAAGAAAAAAAGAAAAAAAGAAAATAAAAGCTCGCAAATTATTAACTAATTTATCACGCGAATTTTATGTCTTAATTATCGAGCTATTTTCATAATTTTTATTAAATTATTTTTCATTTATTAAAAGAATTTAAAATTACCTTTGAGATCGAAAAATAATTAAATTAAATTTTATTTAATTATGCGTGTGATATTTAATTTGAACCAAAATAAATACACAAGGGTAAGAAGAGTGGCAATGTTGTAATTTAGGTGAGATAGAAGGGGAGTTATGGATGGATAGGCATGCATGCTATGTATGTATGTATGTGATGGCATGTATGTATGCATAAGTGATAAAGAAGAAAAACGTTTTGACTTAATTTCTCTCGAGGTAAAAAACAGGAAAATGAATTAAGAATAATTAAATCCGATTGAATACAATTTGACGTCCGCAAGGACAGTCGCGCCCTCTCTCTCTCTCTCTAAGCTACAGCGAGAAACAGGTCGTGCCTACTGTGGGAGAATCCTTCCATGAGTTCATAGAGACTGAAATCTATGCTTCTAAGCTTCAGCTGACATATTCCAACATCAGTTTCTGCAAGAAGAAGAGGAAGGAGAATCGTGTGAAGGAGGAGGAGAACGGGAAGAACGAAGGAGACCGAATTACTGATTACTGAAACCTCCACAATTTAGTCAATTTGAGTCTGCTCTGCTGCTGCTGCTGCTGCTGCTGCTGTTGTTGTTGTTGTTGTTGTTGTTTCTTTGATATTGTCCGATTTTCAAGCAGCAGTTCGACTTTCTTATTCAGTTCCTGGTGAGTTCTCCACGGTCTTCCATTCATTCAGACCTCATAATTTCTCTTTCAAGTTCATAACAGTACAAGATGTTGTTTCACGTTTTGGATCCTTGATTTTAAGTCTGTAAGTTTTGCCTCTTCTCTGCTTTCTTTTCCGCCTTATGAGCAGGGAATGCGTGAGAATGTCGTGAGGTTTCATTTATTTGCCTCTTGAATCTTTCTTGGGGATTTTAAGCATGGGAGTTCATTGAAGTGGCGAACATGAGTTTTGTTGACGAGTTTTTATTCAATTGCCCTAACGAGTTGTTTATTTATTGGTTTTTTGCCGAGGGGTGTGGGGATTTGAGATTTGGAGATTTAATTTGTTCTTAAAGAAATTTAAGTTCGTGTCGGGTTCTTTTGGTGAAATTATGATTATCGATCGTTGTTGTTCTCGATTTGGTTGTACTAATTGATTTTCTTCTGGATGTTGAATTTAAAGTGGATCTGACATGTTCTTGTACAGAGATTCATGCGGAACATTGAGGTTGATCCTCTCGGGAAGACACTGTGATTCTATAATGGTCCGAACCAAAAGGTGTTTCTTCGTTTCGGTTTTCTCTGGTGCTCTCTGAGACTTAGTTGAGCTTTATTTCAGCTTTCCATGTAGTTTAACTGTGTTAATTTTTTTAGGTAGGTTTCTCTTCCTTTAGCGAGTGACTGGGAAAGATGGCAACATCGGGGCCACCCACCCCTATGGGTGGCGGTGCACAGTCTGTTTCACCCTCACTTCTGCGATCTAATTCTGGATTGATAGGAATTCAAGGTGGTCTGCAGCCTTCTCAGGCAGCCTTTTCTTCACTTGTATCGCCTCGCAATCAGTTCAATAATATGAATATGGTTGGTAATATGTCCAATGTGTCATCTCTCCTTAATCAATCATTTGGAAATGGGGCTCCTAATTCTGGACTTCCATGTCCTGGCAGTAGCCACACTGGTGCGGAGCCAGATCCCCTTTCCGGTGTTGGCAATGGAACGAGCTTTAATAATCCTTCATCATCATTTGTAGCATCAAATATGACAAACCCTGTTTCGTCCGTTCAGGGGCATAATCCACAATTTTCTAACCTTTCTAGCAGTCAGATGTCATCAGATCAACAGCAGTCGCAACAGCTAGAGCCCCAGAACTTCCAACATAGTCAACAGTCGATGGAACAGTTTTCTGCACACCAGAGCAATCAACAACCACAATTTCATGCAATTCGAGGGTTGAATGGTGTTGGACCTGTAAAGTTGGAGCCTCAAGTGACCAGCAATGATCAACTTGGACAGCAGCAGCAGCAGCATTTGCAAACGTTGAGAAACCTTGTTCCTGTGAAATTGGAATCACAACGACTTCAGTCACTGAGAGGTTTGACACCAGTAAAAATGGAACCCCAACAATCGGACCAGTCATTATTTCTGCAGCAGCAGCAGCAGCAGCAGCAGCATCAACTACAACAACCACAATCGCAACAATTTCTCCATATGTCTAGACAGCCCTCTCAGGCAGCGGCTGCCCAAATTAATCTAATGCACCAACAAAGGCTTTTGCAATTGCAACAACAACATCAGCAACAACATCTCTTAAAAAGTATGCCTCCTCAACGGCCACAATTGCAACAACATTATCAACAGCAGAACCTTTCTCTGAGATCTCCTGTAAAACCAGGATATGAACCTGGAATGTGTGCCCGGCGTCTGACTCATTACATGTATCACCAGCAACACAGACCTGAAGTAAGAATATGGTACTTTGAAATTTTTGTCGTGTCCAAGAGGAGAACCATCTGACAACTCTAATTTGTTTTTAGGACAACAATATAGATTTCTGGAGGAAATTTGTTAACGAGTACTTTGCACCCCATGCCAAGAAGAAGTGGTGCGTTTCCATGTATGGAAGTGGGCGACAAACAACTGGAGTTTTCCCTCAGGTCTGCTGCAAGATACACTGCTCCCTCATACTAGTTGGCATCATTGCAGTAGAAATTTTGATGAAACTTGATATGATTAACAATATTTAATATTTATTTTGCTTTCATTTTGGATTCTTTGAAAGTTTGCTATTTACCTGTCACCACTTCATCGTTGATGCAATAGCCCACCAATTTCTTTGAAATTTTCAGGATGTATGGCACTGTGAAATATGCAATCGCAAGCCTGGGCGTGGCTTTGGTATGTTCTGTTATCATACCTGCTGGGTGGAATTTAAAATTTCTGCTGAATGCCAGTTTTAATGGCGTGTGCCAAGCACTTCCATTAATGATTCTTCAAGGTTCTTTCCTGTGGACTTCTGATATTGATGGAATTTGAATTTCTTTTTACTATTTCAGAAGCAACTGCTGAAGTTCTTCCCAGACTTTTTAAGATCAAGTATGAAAGTGGTACAATGGAGGAACTACTGTACCTTGACATGCCTCGTGAATATCATAATGCATCTGGTCAGATTGTCCTGGATTATGCAAAAGCGATACAGGAAAGTGTTTTTGAGCAACTTCGTGTTGTTCGCGATGGCCAACTTCGAATTGTTTTTTCTCCGGACCTTAAGGTTGTGTAAAGGATACTTCCCCTCTTTTCTGTGTCTGCATGTTCATGGTTGTGCTTTCAACAGCTTAGATTTTTTATGGCCCAGATGCAATATTCAGTTCATGATGTTTTTCCACTCGTTATTCCTTTCAGATATGCTCATGGGAATTCTGTGCTCGACGCCATGAGGAACTTATACCTAGGAGATTATTGATACCTCAGGTTTAACTTCATCTCGTGACACATTTTAATCAGGCTCCACATTGCTCTTCAGAAAAGCATTACCTTGCATTTAAATTGACCCGGTTATTTGCCTGTTATCCATCAATTTGTGATTAACAGTAATTATTCACTTTATGCAGGTTAGCCACCTTGGAGCGGCAGCTCAAAAGTACCAGTCTGCCATTCAAAACGCATCATCCAATTTATCAACTCCTGAATTGCAAAACAATTGTAACATGTACGTCCTTCCAACATTCGTGTTTCTTTACACAAATACCTACCTGTTTGCTTCTGTTGTGTGTAAAGTCTTAGTGTGATTTTCTGGCACTTCGTTTACATATTGAAGTATGAAAATGTTCCCAGGCCCTTCTTCCACTCTCTTGACCTTGGCCTTTTACATTTTGTTCCTTGTAGTTGGGAATTATTTATTGCCAGTGGTTTTCATTTCAAGCATGATTCGTTTTGTTCTAATTCTGTAAGATCTTTCTTTGACTTTTCCATGAACTCAATTTTCTTAGTTCATTCCTTATCAACTACTAGGGCATTATGGCATTGATTGTTCATTCTAATGTGCATTGTGATCGTGTGGAGCATTCATTCACCTGTAAGAATGAAATTATTTTAGCATTCGTTCCGTGTTTGTAAAAATCTGTATATAACTAAATGAGGATTGATTTTTATTTTGGGTACACCCATAAGATGGGCGGCTTATATAATGGTGTATGTGGGAATCTTTAGAAAGTTGGACTCTCTAGATGTTTTTTTTGTTAACTACACATCAAAATCTTGACGGTTCTTATAATGAAGTATATCATTTGGTTAACACTGAATTTTATAGCTTCTTTTTTAAATTAGTTATGTTTTTGAAGATTATTTAATCCCTTAATGAATTGTGCATAGGTTTGTGGCTTCAGCACGACAATTAGCTAAAGCCTTGGAAGTTCCGCTGGTAAATGACTTGGGATATACAAAGAGATACGTACGTTGTCTACAGGTAATAAATAACTAACATCCTTTTGTTGTCGTTATGAGTCAAAAAGTAGGAGAACTGTGGGCATTCATTGACAAATGAATATAAGTTTTATTTTAATTGACACTTAGCATTTAGTTCAATGACATTTAGATGAGAGTTCTTTGCCCGTGGATATGTACTTCATTTCTTTTCTTACGATTCTTTGAACTCGATGTATTTTAGATGGGTTATCTTTTTGTAAATTGTTTTATTGTTGCTTTTTTATTGCATATCTCCTGTAGATAACCCGTTTTAGTAAATATGACTTGGTTGTGTTAGAATATTGTCTGCTATTGGTTACATAATTTTTAAATAGTTTGTTTCCTTAGGTTCGTTTCTCTTAAATGTAATTTCTCATGAGGTTCAACTACTTATTTTAGGTTAAATTTGACGATTCTGCTGGCATCGTGAGTTCGCCTAGTTAACATTCTAATCTTGTTCTGCAGTTCAAATTCTGTGCTATTCTCATGCTTCAATAACTTGATACTCATCCACGGATAGTGAAACTTCTTCTTCCTCCACCTTCTAACTTTGGCAGCCATATTTTTCTCTTACATATTTTAGAATCCCGTTTTTGCCCACTTCTCCAAATCCAAATAATTAATTTTTGATTAAATTACATGTTTAGTCTCGGAATTTTTAGAAGTGTATCATAGGTCCTTAAACTTTTCAATTTTATGTCCAACAGATAACTGAACTTTCAATTTTATGTCTTACAAAATTAATTGATCTATTAGATAAAAATTTGAATTTTATGTGTAACAAAGCTTTAAACTTTCATTTTTGTATCTAGTAGATCCATGAATTTATAAAAATATCGAAGTTTAGGGATCAAATTTGTAATTTAATTTCAGAGACTAAATAAACACATCCTCAAAGGAAAATTTGTAATTTAACCCTAATTTTTGAGATGGGTTATGAAGATCACAAATATTTTTGGTTTATATGGGAATATTTATTGAAATTTATTACATTATATGAACTAGTTGCTCAATTTGGGATTTCATATCTGCTTATTAGTATTCTAGAAATGTTTGTTAAATCTCATTGTTTTGTGCTCCAATTTATACAGTGATTTTTTGGTTTGGAATTCATTTTTGAATAGTATTCATATTCAAATTTTCATGGCTCACCCAACATATGTAACCTATTGATTATTGATGTATTTCAGCCGTTCATTTCCCGGCCTCTAAAACTGAGCCATTTTTACATGTACGTATCTACGTTTCTGACATTTTCTCCCTTGTGTTGTTCTTTTGGCTCTTCAGATATCCGAAGTGGTTAATAGCATGAAGGACTTGATTGATTACAGCAAAGAAGCAAGGATTGGGCCAATGGGTTAGTAGAATCTTGATGATGTTACAGTTTTATGAGCTTTTAGCAGCTGAATTTGGAAGATGCATTAATAAACTATTACACACACACACACACACACACACGATATAATAAACAGTTCCCTAACTCAAGAAGCACATTACTATCATGGGTGGCTAAAGTAGTAATGCCTATCTTAGAATATTAAATACACTAGGCAGTTTTTGCCCCAAAATTCTTAGGAACAACTGATTATCTAGTGGTCATTGCGAATGATGTTGATAACCCCTGGTCTAGTAAAATAACCGTAGATGGGGTTATATAATGAACTGTTTTAAAATTTCAAGTGATAACTCGAGGGTATGATGGAGAAGTAGAGATATCTTTTGTTGAAGAGTTATGACAGAGCTCCATATATAATTGAGAGAGATTCCAAGGGGGAAAGATCTGAAGCTTCTCAAGTGTAGTTTGTATAGTTTCTATAGGTCATGTCTTCTTCAGAAGCAAGATGGACTGAAAAAGTTAGAAATGATTACATGTTTGTTGTTATTGATATTTTATGTGCTATGGATACATATAGCAGCCCAACTGTCATCTGATTGTGATTTCTGAGGCGTTTGAATGATCTCACTTTGTCTAGAAGATAATTCTTTTGTTCTTTTTTTTTTTTTTTTTTTTTCTAATAAGAAATGGTCAATGTTTTAGAAACAAGCTCCTTAATAGATTATTGAACGTTTCTTCTAATATTATCAATCAGATAGTCTAGCCAAGTTTCCTCGGAGGACTAGTTCATCATCAGTGCTTACAAATCATGCTCAAGTTTCTAATGAGCAGCAACAACAGCAATCATCCATAGCCCATCACTCAAATAACAACCAGGGTTCTGTTCAGGCTTCTGCAGTGCAGCTTACGGGTAGCAATGGCGTGGCCAATGTAAATAACATGGCCAACCAACCCTCAACATCAAACTCAGCGAGCACCATTGCTGGGCTTCTTCACCAGAATTCTATTAATTCCAGACAGCAGAACTCTATGGCTGATGCTAGCAACTCATATGGGGGAAGTTCTGTTCAGATTCCATCTCCTGGTTCTTCCAGTACAATTCCACCTACGCAACTGAACCCTTCTACATTCCAGCCACCGACACCTTCATCATCTAACAATCTTTCACAACCATCGCATGCAGCTGTGAGGAATGGCAATCAGATGAGTGCTGCTAATTCTCCGGCAAATGTCTCTATACAACAACCTGCCTTATCTGGAGATGCTGATCCTAGTGATACACAGTCCTCCGTGCAAAAGATCTTACAAGAGATGATGATGAATAATCAAATGAATAGTCCAACAAGTCTGGTTGGTGTTGGTTCGGTGGTCAATGATATGAAAAACGTGAATGGGGTCTTACCTACAAGTAATCCAGGTCTCAACAACGGGAATTGTATTGGGGGAAACGGAGCAACCAACAGTGGCTCAGGAATGGGAGGAGGTGGATATGGATCAATGGGGAGTGGGCTTGGTCAGCCTGCCATGGTTAATGGAATGAGGACTGCAATGGGAAATAACTCCATTATGAACAGACGAATAGGAATGGCATCGCTCGCTCTTGAACAAAGCATGAATGGTCAACAACCGCAGGATATGGGAAACCAGCTTCTTAGTGGACTAGGAGCTGTGAATGGTTTTAGTAATCTCCAATTCGACTGGAAGCCGTCCCCATGAAGAAAACAGCTATATATGAATCATCATACGTGGATTGGTGCTTAATCTCTGCTGCTTGTGCAGCAGCATTCAAATTACCAGAATTTGCCGATGGCCCTGCGAGAGATGGCAGGCACCGCATGGCAAAACAGGTACGGGGCATAATGATTCACACTTTGTACCTATATATTTGCTTTTATATTATACGAAAAGGAAAGTCTGACGGCTGGTGATGGTGATAGGGGCAGGTTGTCTGTGATTTCCATTGTAACCTGCTATTTCTATAGTTTTTTTCCCTCTAATATTTGGCCTATTTAGCTACTTCATTGTCTTACCTTCTTCATAGCATATTGGGTTATGCTATATGCTTTTCAAGGAATGTGGTCATTTGGAAGAGAATCCAAAATGGGCTGCAGAGTGCTAACCAAAGGAAGTTTCAATTCAGGTGAATGAAATTACTTGAGAAAGTACTAAAAATACAAAATCAAGTGGTTCTCCTACAGTTTTGGGGAACTAAAAGGTTGAGTCCCACATGGAAGGCAAAACAAGGTTGCCCCTCTTAGTCTTGGAATACAACCTGTTGTTGTTCTTGTTGGTATTTGACGAATGATTTTGCATCAGGAGATTTATAATTTATTGATCATGGAAATGACTTGTGTATGCTTAATCTGAAGGTCGAAACGAACAAACCCGAGAGAATTGCACAAAAAACTTCCTATTCTCATATGCGAATCATGTTCCCGAGTTATTATGCAAGTGAAGAGAGAGATATCACCATTATTGACAAGCGAAAACTACAAAAATAGTTGCGAATTCGAAAAGGTTACAAAAATAGACTTCAAAAAACCAAACATAAAACAATTCGAACACACGAAGAACAAAAAGAAAATCGTCCAATTGAAGAAAAGATCCATAAAAAGTTTGCAATTTTTACAAGCTGAAGAAGAAAAATATTGGAAGGTATCTCTGGTGGAGTTCGATGATGTGGGGATTCTTCAAAATTAAACCTCTGTATACTTGTCAATGGTGGCGGCCAAGGTGGATCTGGGCACAGCCCCAATGACGCTCTCTCTTTTCTCCCCATTCTTGAAGAACAGAACCGTGGGAATGCTTCTAATACCATATTTTGAGGCCACATTTGGGCTGAGATCTGTATTGAGCTTCAAACACACAATCTTGCCTGCATATTCCTGCGCCAAATCCTTAATCACAGGCTCAATGATCTTGCAAGGTCCACACCACGGCGCCCAAAACTCCACCAGCACGGCCTTTTGACTCCCAACCACCAAACTGTCCCAACTCGACTCTGTCACCTCCGGCACTGCACAAAGAAACAAAAATCTCATCAAATTAGCAAACCCCACAAACACAAAAGCAGTGAAGAATCAATGTAATCTGGACCGGGAGAGTAACCATCGTCGACGGCACCACGAGCTCGACACGCAAGGGAGAAGGATTTTCTGAAAGTGGAAATGATTGTAGAGGGGGAGAAGGACTTGTTTCCGGAAGTTGAAATGGGCAATTTGCGTCGAAGGGTTAAGGTTGTGTTTAGGTGGTGATTATAACAAAAGGGATAAGATTTGAGTCTGGTAGTGGTGGCGCACATGGAGGCGGCGGCGGCGGCGGTGCCCAGTTGAACACAGTTATCGAGTGCCATTGGAGATGGGTAAACAGAGCTGTTTGTGTTCGTTTGATTCACTTTTTTTTTAATGTTTTTAAGAATGTAGATTCTGTTAATGGGTTTCAGTTAATTTGGATATTTTTGAGTGTGTTTATGAGGCTTGGAGTGGAAGGCGTCGTTGAGAGAAATATGTGGATCTACACGCCCTATTCTTGTGCTCCACGCAATTGTATTCGCTACCTCCCGGATAAAACGCTGACCAAGTTCATCAATCAAAGTTCTTCTTCTGTTTTTTTTTTTTTAAACCTCTTTCATCATATTTGGAAAATAATGAAAAATAATTTATATATATATATATATCATACCATTGTGGAGAGTCGTGTCATGCTCTAAACTTAATCGTGCCAATAGATCAGTAAATCCTCAAATGTCGAACAAAGGACTCCAAAAGAAAAGAAGTCGAGCCTTCTCGAAGGCAGTAAAAAAATGACTAAGACTCTAAAGGAACCTAGCCTCGATTAAGGGGATGCATACTTTGTTTGATGTGAGGTGTTGATGATGGAAATCCCACATCGACTAATTTAGAGAATAATTATGGGTTTATAAATGGTTGAGATATAATATTTGCAGAATATATTTAGTTATAGAATATATCTTAGATATTATATCTTAATATTATTTCCTTTATGATTTGATTATAGTATATTTTATTTTATTTTCAATAAGTTTATATTTTCTTGTCGAGTATTATTTGCTAGTTTGTATGGATATCAATATGAATGAGAATACTCTCTCCATTGGTACGAGCCATTTTGGGAAGCTCAAAGCAAAGCCATGAAAACTTGTGCTCAAAGTAGACAATATCATACCTTGTGAGAGTCGTATTCGCATAACATGCTTAAATTGACTGAAATACTGTGTATGCAAATTAAATCTAACTTTTTTTTTTTGGAGTGAGAAAAAAAAGAAAGTTAAATTGTTGGTTAATGGTAAAAACCAAAAAGAAATAAATTTGATATCCTTCTCCCGAGAATTTATGGAGTGTAAGTTTTTAAGTAGAAAGATTGAATTAGAAAGATATTAAAATTTTACCATTTCGTGTTATCCGCCAAAAAAACAAAACTCATCGTTCAAGATGCTTTAAGCAATCAAATCGACCTTTACCTAAAGTCGACAATCGATTTCTTTGCATATTAATGAATTTTATTTTAATTTAGTCTCGATTTATTTATTAAAGAGAAATTTTATAAATAAATTAGAGTGAAAAAAGAATTAATGAAAAAAAAAATTAAATTTAAAGTGGAAAAATTAGTGTGAGAAAAGACAAAACACCGAAAGAATAATGTCCATCATAACTCGTTCGGTCATGCCATCGAGAATGGGCCCACGTGTCGTTCATCTCATCGGGACTTCTCGAACATCCATCCATCCGGGTTCTATCGAGGCATAGGCCCTCCCGTGCCCATGCCGAGTCATTTGCGGATACCGTACCGGATAGCGGGTGTATGTAGCAACCTCCGACACGCGGGCTAGGGCGCAATACCGGCACACCCGTGCCGTCCGGTACTGTCCTTCAAAAACCCATTTCAAAGGAAGTCGCCCCGAGACACTCGTCTCGGCACGCTCGCCCACACTGTGACACACGTATGTGCCACAGGGTAGCTCACTTAGGCCACAGGGCCCAGGGGTGGTGGAGAGCTAACACCATGGTACCCCCTATAGTACATTTTGAGCCATTTTCATTCTACCAGGAGTAGACATGATTTTCGTGAGGTGTCATACGGTGTCGTGCATTGTCCGTCCCATGTCCGATTGACACCAAACTTGGCGAGCATTCATATTTCATATGGACGGACTTAACTCCCGAACCGCATGACCAAATTCCTTCCGAAACCTCGACTTTTGAGGTTAAGGCCCGGGGCCCTACCCGGCCCTTCAACAAGCCTATCTTGTCCTTCATGTCTATGCTGACGTCTCTCTTATGCTTGTGTCTCAACATGTCTTCAATGCCCACTTTGCGTGGTGGTGTGTTGGATGATGCATCGTCCTCCTCGATCGCATCATGGCATTCTTCTACGTTGGCCCGCATATGGCCGGATGGGCGTCTCTTGAGGGACGCCCCTTTGCTTGTCATGGCGTGAGGGTCACAACCTACTCTCTTCATAGTAAGGTTGTGACATTCTCCCCCACTTAACTTAGTCATCGTCCTCGATGACTTACTCAAGTCACAATCATATTGCGGATTGTGACATTCTCCCCTACTTGATTTAGTCATCGTCCTCGATGACTTTCTCGGGCGCGTTCGCCCCACCTATTGTGAAGTTCTCCCCCACTCAATCTCGGCATCGCCCCGATGACGATCCGACTCTCTGTCTGTTGGCGACTTGACTCGCTGGATTTGGTTGTGCTTCAGAAAAATCTTCTATTGTTGAGCACCTGACGATCTTTTGTCATAATGCTCTCCCTGCTGACGTCTTATGCCAACTTGGGACAAGTTCGAGTGGATGCTTCTGACTTCTCTTTTGTCAGGTGGCACCACGTTCTGACTCTTGACTTGGTCAGTTGTTGGGTGAACTTGTCCTCACTTAGGCTTGTTCCTTTATCTACGGCTATCCCCATTCGGACCTATTTCTGTTGTTCGCCCATCTTGGACTCGGCCACCGAGACTCGCAACGTAGACGTGACTCTTCAGCGTTTGCCATAGTTGTGGGTGAGGCTGACTCTCTTTGCAGACACTCACCAGACAAGTATGGACTTCAGAGGGCACTTTTGCCCTATTTTGGCCAACTTGGCCCCAGTGTGTGCATCCTCTTTGGATCACATAAACTAGTGCACCCCTCGGGGTGGGGCTCGCAAGCCCAGCCGCGACACTCTTTGGTTGCGACCACTTCTCCTATGAATTAATTCACCCCCTTGGGGTGGGGCTCGAAAGCCCGGCCGCAACACTCTTTGGTTGCGACCACTCCTCCTATTGAGCAAAGTCAACTCTTTGACAGTCTCTTCCTTTGTTGGCGCTAACTTTCGGCCAACTCTTTGTATTTTGTCACATCGTGTGACTACTGTTGTGTGTGAACTTCCAGCTTGTTGCTCACTTCCCGAGCGGATACTGGTCTTGACATCTGTTGGTGGAGTCATCCACCCTAGGCACAAGGTGGTGACTCAAGGAATACACGTGTGCTCGTATGTCCGAGCACCTTTACGGGGTGAGAGACTTATTGATGTTGCTCTTCCCCGCTCGAACTCAGCTGCCTCTTTGCAGCAAGGTCGTCCCCCCATAAGGACTCACATTGTATACGGCTCTTGCACTCGGCCGACGTTTGTCTTTTCTTGGCTCTCGGCTTCTCTGCTTGCAACCACTGACACTATTCCTCCAATGTGAATGGTTCTTTGGAAGGCACCGTCATGGTGCTTTCTGTTTCATCTGTCTTGTCTACTTCGAAACTGCAAGCTCTTCTCAGGTGAGCTTGGTTTTTGCTTGACGGGTAGATCTTCCCATATTGAGGTGTCGACACACGACACTAATGAAATTCGGGTAGTCTTGGCTTCAACCCCCAACTGATTATAATTCTGACCGGCAACTGTCCTGCCCATTACGGCACTCTTGACACACTTGCAAGGTCTTCGATCAACTCTTGGGTTTGTTTCTCTTGACTGTCTTGCCCGACTAGACACACAAAGTGTGGCTCTGATACCAACTGTCACGGTCCTACATTCTTGACCGTGCGGCGTCGTGATCTATACATGCTCACGACCAGCCTTAAGGGGAATTAAGCCCCATTATATTTTTCGCCCCGGCTTTGTGGCTTCGTCGGACCTTAGGCGAGGTTTGCCTTCGCCAATCGAACATCGCTTGTGCGGAATTCAAGCTTGTTCAACCACACACGCCGCCTGTGCGTGTATGTTCAATCATCTGCGACACATCCGACTTGCCTCTACGCTAGGCCAACGCATTCGGCTCGACCTTGCCTCTGCTCGGGCCAAGGTCTCTCAATACAACGTCGCATCTCATCTTGCCACCTCGATCCCCATCGACAGGGTCCATATGTCTTGACGCCATCCCGAGTCTCGGGATGTCGTCGCTCATCATAACTCGTTCGGTCATGCCATCGAGAATGGGCCCACGTGTCGTTCATCTCATCGGGACTTCCCGAACATCCATCCATCCGGGTTCTATCGAGGCATAGGCCCTCCCGTGCCCATGCCGAGTCATTTGCGGATACCGTACCGGATAGCGGGTGTATGTAGCAACCTCCGACACGCGGGCTAGGGCGCAATACCGGCACACCCGTGCCGTCCGGTACTGTCCTTCAAAAACCCATTTCAAAGGAAGTCGCCCCGAGACACTCGTCTCGGCACGCTCGCCCACACTGTGACACACGTATGTGCCACAGGGTAGCTCACTTAGGCCACAGGGCCCAGGGGTGGTGGAGAGCTAACACCATGGTACCCCCTATAGTACATTTTGAGCCATTTTCATTCTACCAGGAGTAGACATGATTTTCGTGAGGTGTCATACGGTGTCGTGCATTGTCCGTCCAATGTCCGATTGACACCAAACTTGGCGAGCATTCATATTTCATATGGACGGACTTAACTCCCGAACCGCATGACCAAATTCCTTCCGAAACCTCGACTTTTGAGGTTAAGGCCCGGGGCCCTACCCGGCCCTTCAACAAGCCTATCTTGTCCTTCATGTCTATGCTGATGTCTCTGTTATGCTTGTGTCTCAACATGTCTTCAATGCCCACTTTGCGTGGTGGTGTGTTGGATGATGCATCGTCCTCCTCGATCGCATCATGGCATTCTTCTACGTTGGCCCGCATATGGCCGGATGGGCGTCTCTTGAGGGACGCCCCTTTGCTTGTCATGGCGTGAGGGTCACAACCTACTCTCTTCATAGTAAGGTTGTGACACTCTCCCCCACTTAACTTAGTCATCGTCCTCGATGACTTACTCGGGTCACAATCATATTGCGGATTGTGACATTCTCCCCTACTTGATTTAGTCATCGTCCTCGATGACTTTCTCGGGCGCGTTCGCCCCACCTATTGTGAAGTTCTCCCCCACTCAATCTCGGCATCGTCCCGATGACGATCCGACTCTTTGTCTGTTGGCGACTTG